CCACCCCGAACCCTGTTTTTCCACTAAAAATCCCATTTTTTGGCCCAAATGCCCCCCGGCAATGTGCTCACGTCCCTTTCCACAGGGCGACCGCGGCGAAACGGGACCCGTGGGCGCTCCCGGTGCTCCGGGCGCTCGGCGCCCCCGGCGCTCCCGCCCCGGTGGTACCCCCCGGCAAGCAAGGAGATCGTGGTGAGGCGGTGAGTGTCCCCCGCCATGTCCCCTCACTCGGATCCCGGTGGGAAAACACCAGGACGAGCTCCGGCATCGTCACCTCCCAACTCCGCTCCCTTCTTTCCGCAGGGCGCACAAGGACCCATGGGTCCCTCCGGCCCCGCTGGCGCTCGCGGAATGCCGGTGAGTAGCGCTCGGCACCGGGCAGCGCCGAGGCCACCGCGGTGCCACCGGCCCGTGTCCCATGGCCGCTCCGCTCTGCTTCCAGGGTCCCCAAGGCCCCCGCGGTGACAAGGGCGAGACCGGAGAGGCTGGAGAGAGAGGCCTGAAGGGTCACCGAGGCTTCACCGGCCTCCAGGGTCTGCCCGGACCTCCTGTAAGTGCTCGATGATGCTCGGAGCCTCCACATTCCGCTCCGGATCTTCCTCCGGATTCATCCCCAGATTCCAATCTGGATTCACATCTAGATTCTGCTCCGGATGCAGAAGAGCATCCATTGCCTCCATCACTAGGAATAACCGGCCTCTTCTCTCCTTCCATAGGGCCCCTCTGGAGACCAAGGTGCTGCCGGTCCCGCTGGTCCCTCCGGCCCCAGGGTGAGCGATGCCAGCGGGTGCTCCCAGGACATTCCCGTCCTCGGTGCATCCGTGTCCCGCACTGACTCCCCGTGCGACTCTCTCCTAGGGTCCCCCAGGTCCCGTCGGTCCCTCCGGCAAAGACGGCTCCAACGGCATGCCCGGCCCCATCGGTCCTCCCGGCCCCCGCGGTCGGAGCGGGGAACCGGGTCCGGCGGTGAGTGCGGGTCCCGGCCGGGACACGGCTCCAATTCGTGACCATTGAGCGACCATGTCTTGTTGTTCCCTCCTAGGGTCCTCCTGGAAATCCCGGCCCTCCCGGTCCTCCCGGTCCCCCCGGCACCGGCATCGACATGTCGGCGTTCGCCGGCCTGGGCCAGGCGGAGAAGGGTCCCGATCCGATGCGGTACATGCGGGCGGACGAGGCGGGCG